AAAGCAACGCCATCCTTAGACGTACATACAAGTCAGCATACATCTTTAGAAAATGCGAGGGCTGCATCAGTAACTTTAGCAGACACATCAAAACTACCAGCTGGGCCTGCGACCTCGTCAATATCTGATAGCCTAGGTTTATCAAACGGTCTGTTGACTTCTGGTTCGGGGACATCGGATATGACCAAAATGACTCGGCTTTATACCTTTCGCTTAGCCATTGGTGACCCAGCCAATGTCTATGAAGACCGAGAGGTATCAACAAATTCCTTTTTTGGTAGACAAAGTTCATGGACGACGGCGGTTTATGAGTTAGCAGTAGCAGATGACAGAGATTTTGGTGCTCAAGATTCTAATATTTATAGTCGAACTTCTTTTGATGGAGAAGCTGCCGCTGGTGCATTGGATACAGATGATCTTGCCCCACTAACCTCTTCCTCTACATCCACAGCACCACCACCACTACCGACAGAAACTTTATCAGATCGCCTGTCTCCTGACTGTCTAGGGGACATAAATACCAACTCACCAGACAGAACATCGGTTGCCATGGAGTTCTCAGAGGCCAGTGACTTACGAGAACGGGAGCGTTCGGGCTCAGAGACTGTGGCATATGCGCAAGGACATCAAAAATATTGCTTAGATGAAGACGACGGAGGGGCTGCTGATGTCGAGTCGGCCTGCTATTTCGCCTGCCAATCCTGGCACGCATGTATTACAAGGCACATTAAGGAACAGAGTAAGATTAGAGTTCATTTTATTGTAAATACAACAAAACTATACATTAATGTTGTTAAGCCTTCCCTCTTGTATGAAAAGATGACTAAAATGTATTCTTAAGTTGGCCTTAGTGGAGACCGAAGATGAATAATCTACTAAATGTAATTATTGATTTGAGCACACACAGTCCTCTGAATTTGGCCTATCCTTGCTGGGCTTTCTTCTCTCCTGCTGGGGCAGAAATAACATTTTTTTTCAATTAACTTAACTTATGATTATTTACAGCTGCCCAGTCTGTAGACTTTCATAACAATTGAGTTTTTACGATATATATATAAACCAGATTTCATTGGTGTAACTGCCTGGCCATAATGAGCAATTACCTTCAGTTTTATAATCTGGCAACCTTAGGCAACCTATCTGATAAGCTACTTAATTCAACCAACATGTTAAGAGAATGGCTTGCTTTTTAGTTAAGTGAAATTTACTTTTCTTAGCAATACAAGTTATACATTATCCTCCCGAGCTATTCTGCATAAATTACTCACCTTATCTTTGCCAAATTTGTTAAATTACCTTTATTTCTTCTTACCTTTGTTATAAAATCGCTTCAATTTCTTGAGTTTCTTATCATTAAATCTGCTAGTCATTCTATAGATGATGTGCAGGAAAACTGGGTTTCGAATAATCACTTTATGGATTGAGGTTGGAGTACCTTTCGTTTCATTTGAAGAGGCGTATGAGACTAACTTAGAAATCCCTTCCACTTACCTCTTCAGGATGTAATCTAGGTTTGAAAACTTAGAGATTATGGACGCAATTTTGGTCGCAGTCTCCTTTCGATGTATAAAAGTGTGCTGTCCTCATTATAGCAATTTGGCTGTGTTGCAGGATGAACTAGTTGAACACACTGTCAGAGGTCCTCTGCTATAACAGTTATTGTAACTCCTATCGTCGGACCGTGAACTTAATGCAGTCCCATACGTTTCTCTTTTATCGTCTGTGCGTCTTGCCACTCTTAGCACCAAGTTGTAACTCGTTAAAGGGACAAATGAAGTAATTCCCTCGACCGACTTTTCGCCGAAATGGTTTTTCTATCACATCTCTTTCTGTCCTGGCCCAGCTATCTACTCCTTTCCCTCTTATCTCACTCCCGCCCTATCACAACTTCTGACTTGTTTATATTTGACTCCTCTGGAGGTTTGTCATTTATGGCTAGTTTAATATGGCTTCATCACACCTGCTGTTTACCTTGTCCCTTCCTCTCAATTTGCTCATCCGATTCGGACTTAATATCCGAATCTCTCTTTCTAGTTAACTAATTTCATTCGGTTCCAGTCCGACTATAGGTATCACTTCAGAAGTTATTTCTCAAGCCTTTAGTTGCATGTACACTGTCACTTTATCGAGCATGCTTGTATATATTAGGCATTGCTTTTAAGGGTCATCTCCTTGATTAAACCCATGTATCCTAAACAAACTGTGAACATCTATCACTGGTCGCCTGTCACTTCTCGAGTGAATTTCTAGTCAATTTGACTATAATGTCGCATTTCTGTGGAAGTTATGATAATATGTCTCCCTAGTCATAAGATTATCAAAGTGGTGGTTGTTTCTTTAAGTTCCTCCATGAGAACATCTTCTCTTGATTTTCTAAACTT